GGACCAGGCCGGCTATTGTTCTCCGGGTCCCCCCGGCGGCAGACGCTCCCACGCCGCCTCCCCGGCAGCATCTGCCGCCAGACCCAGCCGTGCGGCTCCCGAAGGAAAGGGTGTGCCCGCGGCGCTGCGGGCGACCACAGCCCCCCGCCGGAGCCCTCGCGGGCAGGGCTTCCCCGGAGACAAAGCTCCAGGCGGGGACGGACCGTCCGGCTCCAGACCCGCGTCCTAGAGCCCCGCCCCGCCGGCCACCGGGACCCCCGGGCCGCGCCTGCAGGGAGGGTCCTCAGCCCCAGCACCGCCTCCTACTGCCGGTCCCGCCCTTCCCCGGAGACCTGCCTCCTCCTCCTCCCCCGCGTCAGCCCCCAAACCCAGACGGCCCCGCCCTCCAGCATCGCCCCTCGCGGCCTCCTTCTCCATCAGCCCCGGCCCCGCCGCGCCCGGCGCCCCCCGCATCCAGCTCCCTCCCTTCCCCAGCCCTCCCTCCGCCCCCTGGTCTTTCCACCTCAAATCCCGGTCTCCACGCCTCCCTCCTCCCAGGCCGGGCACCTGCCCCACCCAGCCTTTCCAGCTCCCCATCTTAGCTCCAACAGGGGCCTCGCCGCCGCCCCTCCGCCTCATCGCAGCTCCTCCTCATCCCGGTCCCGCGCCCGCCGAGCTCTGGGCTGCGAGCAGGGCTCCCGCCCAGGGCTCAGCGCCCTCCCGGGCCCCGCAGAGGCAGGGGCAGAGGCAGGGGCAGGGGCAGGCGGCCTTTGTGGTGCAGGCAGGTGCCTCGGAGGAGGCGGGCGAGCGGTCCTCGGGCATCCGCTCTGGGAGCCAGACGGTGCCAAAGGCGGCCGGGTCCAGCCCAGGCTCGGCACACCCCATCTCCCAGGAGAGAGGGACGGAGGGTGTGTGTGTGTGTGTGTGTGTGTGTGTGCATGGGTGGGGGGCTGGGGCAGAACCCGGGCAGGACCAGCCCGCCGCTGCCCGAGAAGCCCCCGCCCAGCCTCCCAGCCTTTCCCGGCGGCGCCTGGACCCACGAGGCTGGGCGCCTGCTGTGTCCTAGGAGGGAAACCCTCTCACCCACGCCGCCTCTTCGCTCCCATCCTCTGCAATCCCAGGAGCGAGCACACAGTAGACGCCTACTGTGAACAAGGACCGGATTCGAGCCCCAGGGTAGCCTCGACAGCCGCCCACCGCCCCGACGCATCCTCTCCCCTTGGTCCCCGCAGCCCGGCCGCCCTCGGCGCACACCCATCCCCGCCCTTTTGTGAGCCTCTCCGGGACACAGAGGTCGGGAGATGGACGCCCCAGGCCGCGGAGAAGGAGCCCCCCGCCCGCCATCAGCCATCACCCCGCCATCACCCACTCGTCCAGGATGCCGCGGCTGCAGGGGGCCGTGGGATCGCCCGTCTCTCCTCGCGGGTGTCGCCGCGGCGGCGCCGGAGCTGCGGGTGCCGGGGCGGCGGCGGCTGCACGCGCGCTCGCTCGCTGGAGAGCAGCCGGGGCGCGCCGGGCGCTGGATCCCCGAGCCTGGGGCGGGGGCAGGGGAGGGAGGCAGGGGCTGGAGGCGGCCTCGGCCAATCACGGCTCCCCCGGCTCCGCCCCGGTGCCCCCCGCCTCGCTTTAGTCTAGCAGGTTGTGGGGGGAGGCGGGGACAGGCGGGGACAGGCGGTGCCCGGCATCTTCGGCGACGTGCGCACACGGCCGCCGCCAGGGACTCCGGACTACAATTCCCGGCAGGCCCTGCGGCAGGGCGTGGGGGTCCGTGAGGGGACGGAGGGCGAGACGCGGGATCCGCTGCCGCCCATGCCCCCGGTGACCTGCGCCGCGCGCCTTTGGGTTTCCATGGCGACTCCCGGCAGTGCACAAAGCGCAGGCTCTCAGACTGATGCACCGGTCCCCGGGGAGGACCACGCGGCGGTCCCCGAGGGCGGACCGCCTCCCGCCCCCGCCCCCGCCCCCTGCAGGACCCCACCCGAGGGGCTGAGACAATGCCCGCGGCCTCTGCCCCGCGGCGGCAGGCCCTGCCCTTCGCTGCTGGCCGAGCGGTAGCCTCTGGCTCCTGTCCAGACCCAGACCGACGCCTTCGGAGTGGACGCTCGGCGGGATCCCGGGATGGAGAGGGCAGGGGCTGTCATCGTGGGTAAATGTCCTCACGTACAAAGTGGACGGCCACCTCGGGCCTCCTACGTTCGCATCTCCCCGCTGTTGTGGCTCGAATCCGAGTTCACTCTGGATGGAGAAGCCTTAGCTAGGGCTTCTCCATCCAGAACTCCCAGGTCCAGCCGCCGTCCTCTTTCTGATTCCCCTTCGTCGGGGGACGGCGAAGCCTCTGGACAGGTTTTAGAACTCATTTACATTTGCTTCACCTTCTATCTTCACGCTTTAAATGTGCACGTAATTTAGCAAACACAGCAAATCTTAAAAAAAAATCACTACACCTTCGTACTATCTCCTGATCCATTCTCAAGTCTTTATCGTGTGTTATTTTATGTATTTGTAATAGCTTACATACAGTTTAGTAATTCGCCTCTTTTGACTTCATGCCACACCAGAAGCACTGCCATTGGTACAGTGCTGAAGTGCAGCACGGAGTCCTTGCTTCCAGCCCCATCCCGCGTTCCCGCTCTCATGTGCGGCTGCGGAAGCCCCTACCCTGCAGCCCCAGGGATGGAGGTGAGGGAGTGCCCGGCTGCAGCTTCAGGGCCCCAGAGGAGGATTCCCCAGCGGGATATTTTCAAACACAACCATGTCTCGCTACTCTGGAGGTGTTCCCTCCATCTCAGCAAAATCCACCCGGGCGCCGGCCCGCAGAGCCCGCCGGAGTGAGGTGCCCTGGGCCACTTTCCGCAAGGGCTCAGGACCTGGGCAGGCCAGGCTGGCACTTGGGGGATGCACCTCTGGATTACCTCCATTGAGTTTCCACATCATCTGGGAGGAAGTTTTACTTCTCTGCTCTCCTCCAATCATTAGCTTATGCAGGGAGCCCAATGAGCCTGGGGCCCAACCCACAGTAAACCCCCCCCCCCCCCCCCCCCCCCCCCCGTAGGCCCAGGCTTGGCAAACCCCAACTTGAAGGGGAGCCTGGGATGTGGCTGTGAAAACCTGGGGGGCCTGACTCGTCCTTTCCCCCACTGCTCCAGGGTGAGGCACTGTCCTATGGACGCTCCCAGGCAGCTAGGGGAGGCAGAGTGGAGCCCAGGTCCGCACCTCACAGCAGCTTGTCAGTGCCATGCTGCTCTTCTTGCCCAAGGGGAGGGAGCCCTCTAGTGGCAGTAAACGTTTCCTGCAACACTTAGTGGACCTCCGGACCTATGGACTCTTGCCTCTGCTTTTTCATACCCACCTTCTTTGGTCAGAAAAGAGCTGCCTGGAAGTCCTCTGTCCACCCAGAACATTGATGGAAATTGCACTCAAATCTGGGGTTGTGAACTTTACATTTATTTATAATCTAGGCTCTCTTTCCTGGAAAATATAGACTACAGGCTGGAATCTTTTGTGCTTTCTGGATATTTGACATTGGAGTTAGCTCAACCATCAGAGCTTTAGCTCCCCTACAGAATGTGGGGATCATAATACATTCTTTCTTTTAACCTTGCTGTAATAACCACACGAGGAAACACATACCAAGGGCATGGGGCATGTGGACATGTGTTGGTGGTAATGGTATCCTGCTTAGTACAATTTGGAGAAAACTGAAGGAAGATGATCATCTTCTAATTAATAACGCTTTGCCAAAAACTTTATATATTAACAGATATATAAGCTTTATTTGAATGCCTGCATAACTATGATTTGAGGTCAAACAAGGTTAAAATGTATTAAACCAGTGGTCGGCAAACTGTGGCTCTTTGGCCCCTTGAGTTTTTAGCAAAGGCCAGCTTAGGAGTACCCTAATTACTGTATTTTTCGGACCATAAGACGCACTTTTTTCCCCCCAGAAGTGGGGGGAAAAAGTCCCTGCGTCTTATGGTCCAAATATAGCCTACACATATACTTTAAAAAAAAAGTTTTTTTACTTGCCCGGCTCTGTGTGGTCTCTGTGTGCTTGCCCAGCTCTAAAATGGTTCTAAATGCTGCTGTTTACTTTACAGGGTTGATTACATGTGTTTATGACTGTGATGTTGGGTTTTAATGCACATAAAATATTTTAGGACACTATTTGTTTCAGAATCTTTTTTTCTTCATTTCCCTTCTCTAAAAACTGGTGCGTCTTATGGTCCGGTGCGTCTTATGGTCCGAAAAATACGGTAAGTTAATAACAATGTACCTCTATATAGTTTAAGTTAAATTTGGCTCTCCAAAGAAATTTCAATCATTGTACTGTTGATATTTGGCTCTGTTGACAATGAGTTTGCCGACCGCTGTATTAAACCATAGAACCTGGTCCTTCCCTTTAGTTTGTCTCTAATCAGTTGACTAGTGTGCCCTCTCTAATCATTTTTTTTTCTAGACATATTTTTTTTCTAAAACTCTTCAGGTGGCAGTTCCTTTTTGTCTGGAAATCTCTTGAAGTGCTTTCAGCCTTGACTGGTTTGGCTCAGTGGATAGAGCGTTAGCCTGTGGTCTAAAAGGTCCCAGGTTCGATTTCGGTCAAGGGCATGTACCTTGGTTGTGGGTACATCCCCAGTAGGGGGTGTGCAGGAGGCAGCTGGTCGATGACTCTCTCTCATCGATGTTTCTAACTCTCTCATCTCTCTCCCTTTCTCTCTATTAAAAAATGCCTGAAACCAACTACTGTTTCACTAATAGAGAGATGTGACAGGAAGCCAGGAAGGCTGTCAACAACACTAATTGCTCAACCACTCACCCTTCAGTTGAGATATTGTTAGCTGAAGCAGCCTCCACCTCTGTGTCTCATGTAAGTTTTTGTTATTTCCTGAGAAGGGCAAGGTTATTATCTGCTCCCTACTCTACGGGGCTCTCTCGTTTACATTTCAGTGGTTTGCAGTGTACAAATCAAGTTAACATACAAAATATACAAGTATGCTGTTAACAGTGACTTTGCTTCAAGCTTGTTTCATAAAATAATTATTTTTATTTTTTATAATCTCTCCGCAAAGAAGTTATGAAAATACCTGTCCATACATTGAAAAGTCACTTTAAAATCCTGGGATGAAAAATTCTAAATACATGTTGCATCTTCTGTGATTTACACATTTGTATACGATAGAGCTCTTGAATGATTTTGACAGACATTTACCAAGAAGAGTCGGAACATTTAACTTTAAAAGATATTCAGTTTCCACCCCAACTGAGTTTTTGAGAAGCTACAGTTGACAGCCACCACACACCGACTCCATAGCTCAGTACCAACGTCAGGCCATTGGGCCACGGGGACAGCGTGTGGCTCTGCATCGGCACTTGCCGCCGCCAATGAAGTTAATTAAAGGACAGAGAGGTACAGGCTCCCCATGCAATGGACGGGAGTGTTCTTCTCTTATTTTTCCCTGGTGCGTTAAATAGAAGTAAATATACAAGCGGTAAAAAATGTAAACGAAGGGAGGAGGGAGATGGAAATGGTAATTAACAAATCTGATGTCTTCAGAATCGCTAAGCAGTGATGTGAGTAATGTATACACGGAAGGCAACCTCAGAGTCTCTCTGAAAATACTTCTCAGGCCTCTGGAACCATGTTAATTTTCTTATACATGACCTTGTTGCAGAGGAGAGGCACGAAGTTCTTAAAACAACAACAACAAAAAAAAAACATTACAAAACCAACATGCACACTCGGCTCAGAGGTAGCAAGTCCAGGCAGCATCCCGGACTCCCCGGATCTGGTCCCGGCTCCAGACAGAGTCCCTGGTGTCATCCCTGAAATTAAGAAATCGCATTTACTAACAAGGCATTTTCAAAAGTAAGAAAACCTTCTTTTAATCAAAATGGGGCTGTCTGGTCCTTATAAGACAAAGAGGCTTAATTCGGACAGAAACTTGGGTCATCTGGCCATTACTTAATAGAAAAGCATCTTTATTTAACATGGTACAAAGGGCACGAGCCCCAGAGTCCCAAATATTTAAGGTAAAACCAGGTCAAATTTTTTTCTCAAGAACCAAGGGAAGGCAAGAGGGCAAGAACCTAAGGATGAGGAAAGAAATTCCTTCAGCGCAACTCACCCCCCTCCCCGCGGATGGGAGGCGGGCGCTCCTCCCGCCCCCACGGGCCCTGGCGGGCAGGGCAGGCTTACGGGCGGCTGCTCAGCCCAGCCCTTCCTGGATGCCGCGGATCCTCCTGGCCAGCTGCACGTCCTTCGGGAAGAGGGTGACGCGCCCGGCATGCAGGGACAGGAGGTAGGCGTCCTCAAAGAGATGGACTAGGAACGCTTCTGCCGCCTGGGAACGGAAACACAGTGGACTGACCTGGCGCGGGGCCACGGGCTGCTTTTCCACGGGTCTACCACGCTTAGTCTGGGAGAGCTCTTACAGGATTACAGGCAAGACTGTCCACAGAAGGAGCCTGAACGGCCTGGGAACTCTGCTCCTGCCAGACCAGATCCTGCCCCAAACCCTGCGCTCTTGTGGCTCTTTTCCCGGAGTTAGTGCGCCGCGCCATAGCCCGCCCCGTGGAACGCCAGCCCTTTCTCCCATACTCAGCCCTCCCCCAACGGTACCAACGCCCTCTTCTTACCTCCTGTAGGGCCAGCAGGGCATGGGCTTGCCAGTTGAAGTCCACGCCACGAGTGAATTTAACACATATTTCTCTGACCTGTGAAGGAGTGGAGATGGGAGGCGAAGGAGAAGGTGAGTGGGGAGGAGCAGAGGGTAACAGAATAGAGACTCGACGGAAGATCAGCCTCTCTGTGTGAGTCTCTGCCAATTTTCATGACCTTTATACCTTCCTGGTCCTTAATCTCTGGGCCTAACGAGTAGCAGGTATCAGCTCCCAGGAGGTGGGCAGAGGAGAAGGCAATTTCCCAGCAGAGGGCAGGGATGAGAGGGCGGATGAGAGGGCTTCTATGGACGTAATCAAGGAACACAGTCCCAAAGGTGGTGGGGGTTGGAAATTAATTCCATAATTTACTGGAAGGTACCCTTGGCAGGCTCACGTTTTTAGAAAACCCCTAACCAAGTCAGAGAAGAGGTCCACTGGCCATTTGGGTCCCCAGTACAGGGGACGTTTAGAGAAAGGAGGCAGCATGGGGGGGAGGGGAAGCCCCCCGGAGCTCACCAGGCGGCAAAAGGGCATCTTCCTTAATAACAGGTGCGTGCTCTTCTGAAGATTCCGGATCTCCTTCAAGATCAGATGTCCCCGGCGGGCAGATGGGCGATGGGATGGGCGCGCAGGTGGACGGGAAGGAGTGCCTAAGCAAAAGAGTGGAGTCAGCCCTGGCTAAAGCTTTGTCCTGAGTCACCAAGGTTGTGAGTTCGATCCCAGTCAGATCACATATAAGAATCAACCAATGCATGCATAAGTAAGTGAAACAACAAATAGAAGCCCCCCTCCCCCCTTCAGTGAAATCAATTAAAAAAAGGAAAAAAAAGAAAAAAAAAAGGGAGTTGAGTCAAACATGGGTGAGTGCAGTAGAAAACAGGCTGCCTTGAAGTTTGGCTGTCAAACTAATTGCTAGACCGTGTCCAGCAAGCGTGGCTCAGTGGCTGATCATCAACCTATGAAAGAGGTTGTGGTTTAATTCCCGGTCAGGGCACATGCCCGGGTTGTGGGCTCGATCTCCAGTGGGGGGTGTGCAGGAGGCAACTGATCAATGATTCTTTCTCATCACTGATGTCTCTCTCCCTCTCTGAAATCAATAAAAATATATTTAAAAATTGCTAGGTCACGCTAACTGGTTTGGCTCAGTAGATAGAACGTCGGTCTGCGGACTGAAAGGTCTCAGGTTCAGTTCCGGTCAAGGGCATATAACTTGGTTGCAGGCACATACCCAGTAGGCAGTGTGCAAGAGGCAGCTGATCGATGTTTCTCTCTCATTGATGTTTCTATCTCTCTATCCTTCTCCCTTCCTCTCCGTAAAAAATCGTAAGATATGTATATATTTTAAAAATTGCTAGGTCATAATATAATCCACAAAAGCAGGGATTTTTGTCTATTTTATTTACTGCAGCTATCTTCAGTAACTGGAAAGCAGCAGGGAAGTGCTATATAAATATCTGTTAACTGAATGAATGACCCTTTCCGGGTATTATCTTAAACTAGAGGCCTGGTGCATGGATTCGTGCACAGGTGGGGTCCAGCTGGCCCTTTGGGGCCAGTGGAAGAGGCACCAGCCCACCCCTGGTTGGGGTGGGGGACCATTGGGTTGGCCGGCCAGACCCCTTTTCCCTTCCCCAGGTCCAACTCCCAGTCAAACTCCCGGGCAAGGGGATAATTGGCATATTAGCCTTTTATTACATAGATGCCAGTTCTCGCAGGCATCCTTTTCTGACTTCCAACCCTTTCTAAACTGGAGGGTCACCTCCCTCCTCTGGGCCCCACAATATTCTGTACCTCTCTTCTGACTTCCCCACCTCGACTGGAAACCCAATTATTTTGTTTTTGGGTCTTTTGGGGGGAGCTGGAAGGACTCTGAGAGAGTATCTGTATCCGGTTATCCTTAGGCCCAGAGAGGTGAGACACCTGGCCAGAGTGGGCCCTCAGAGTGGCATAGCTCAGTGCCAATGTCGGGCTGCAGAGTCAAGAGTGTGTGGCTCACAGCCTAGTTCCAACAGCAAAAATAAGAAAGAAGGAAAACAAAACAACAACCTAAAGTAGAAATAAAAAAAAAGTCAAACTCTCTGATCAGAAATTAAAAACTAATTTTTTCTAACTCTTGTGTTGAAGAGGAAACTTAGTTGACATGAGTTATTTAGAAATGAATAAAAATAAAATCTACCTATCAAAACGTATGAGATAGAGCCAAATAGTACTCAAGGAAAATGTATAGCCTCAAGATCTATTTACTGGAAAATAAGAACATGTAAAGGTAGCTGACCAAATGCTATCTTTAAATAGTGCTAGGAAGTGCTCAGTCGTTAGGAAGAGAATAAAATAAGCCAGAAGGTGGAATCCAAGAAATATTCAAGACAATAAATTAAAAAGTAAAACAGAAAACAGTATTGCTGCTCCATGAATTAAATCATGGACCAACAGAAATAAATGAACTTCTAAGAAGTGGGACGAAGAATAAAAACAAAAAAACCCTCAAAAACATTCTGAAGGATAAACTCAGTTTCACAAATGTGACTCAAGACACAGCCAAGAAACGAGGACCCACACCAAGTGGTTCAATAGCAGGGATGGAGCACAGCGCACTCATTGCCGAGGGCGAGAAAAGCTGCAGGGGCAAATGGGGTCGGCGAGGCAATCGGAGAGACACCTTATGTCACACAGCGGGCCCGGGGGACTCTCTCCCTGGGTGGGGCAATGTGGGCCGAAAGAGCAGAGCAATGTCCAGGGGATTGGTGACATTTGGGAGAAAGAGGGAGGCACGTACCCAGGAGGCAAGCTCCTGGCATCTGCCTCCCTCCTTACCAGCAGCCAACAGTCTAATCACTGGCACAGACACAGCCGTCACAGAACGCCATTAAAGGTCACCGCACAATCTAAGAAGGCCAGCTCCATGAAAGGAGTGAACCAAACTCAACCAATACTAGAGCGCGCTGAGTTCGTAGACAGAAGACATCGAGACTTTTGTTGTTGTTGTTGTTGTTAATCCTCACCCGAGGATATTTTCCCATTGATTTTTAGGGAGAGTGGAAGGCAGGGGGAGAGACAGAGAGAAATATCCATGTGAGAGAAACACATCCATGGGGTGCCTCCTGCATGAGCCCCAACCAGGGCTGGGGGGATGGGGAGGAGTCTGCAACCAAGGTACATGCCCTTGATCTGAATCGAACCTGGGACCCTTTGGTCCGCAGGCCAATGTTCTACCCATGGAGCCAAACTGGCTAGGGTGAGACCTTAAAAAAAAATTTTTTTTTTTTTCAGAGGAAGGGAGAGGGAGAGGGAGAAAGAAATATTAATGATGAGAATCATTGATCAGCTGCCCCTTGCACATCCCACACCAAGGATTGAGCCCCAGGCATGTGCCCCTACCCAGAATCCAACTGTAATCTCCTGGTTCATGGGCCAATGCTCAACCACTGAGCCACACCTGCCGGGCTGCCCCTCACCTTTAGATCAGAAATTGCAGAATGCCCATGTGAGGAGTCTGAACGTAATGCTAAGTGAGGGGGAGCGGCTGACAGAAAGCTCCAGGAACTCAGGAGAGCCCTGTCGGAGGAGGAGTGGCTTTCGATGGGAGGGGACACCTCGTTCTGTTGTGAGAAGATAAGGGGGATGCAGTCTGGAGGCTTCTATTTCCTCAGCGAAGCATGAGGCAAGGTCCTCACCAGCTGAGTGAGATGGGGTCTGGAGTTGTAGCAATTTGCAGAGGAAGAAAAATGTATGGAACAGTCAGTGGGTAAAGGAAAAGCAAGACTGATCAATGATTCTCATCATTAATGTTTCAGACCCCCAGAAAATGTGGGGTGTCCGCCTGTGATAATCATTTAATTTAACCAGGAGTAGAGAGATGTCTCTATATAGGAAAGCAACAGCAAACATCTTACTTAACGAGACAAAGATGGCGAAAACACTGTTCTTATTTCAATACTAGTCTCAGGGCCTCACTAATCCAATACAGTCCTATATAATAAAGAGGTAATATGCAAATCGACCCTCACACAGTTGCACAAGATGGCCACCCCATGCGGTCAAATATGGCTGCCACAAGATGGCCAGCAGGGGAGGACAGTTAAGGCTGACCGGGCTGGGACGAGAGGGCAGTTGGGGGTGACTAGGCCTGCAGGGGAGGGCAGTTGGGGGCAAATGGGCTGGCAGGGGAGGGCAGTTGGGGGCAACCAGGCCTGCTGGGGAGGGCTGTTATGGATGATCAGGCCAGCAGGGGAGGGCAATTATGGGCGACTGGGTCGGCAGTTGGGGGCAATCAGGCCGGCAGGGGAGTGGTTCGGGGGTAATCTGTTTGGCAGGCTGGTGAGTGGCTGGGAGCCAGCAGTCCTGGATTGTGAGAGGGATGTCCGGTGTCCTGTGGGATTGGCCTAAACCAGCAGTCGGACATCCCCTGCAGGGTCCTGGACTGGAGAGGGTGCAGGCTGGGCTGAGGGACGCCCCGCCCACCCCCATGCACAAGTTTTGTGCACTGGGCTTCTATACAATAATAAATAAAATGTATACAAATAAAAAAGATTCAGAAGTCATTCTCTGAAAACAAAACAACAGCCTAGTTAAACATTTCAATCAGGTGACAAAAAAGACTATTAGGATTAACAAGAAAATTCAGCGTCTTGGCTGGGTGCAAAGGTTATTTACTATAATTAGGAAAGAAAAATAAAACACATTCACAATGGCAACATCTACAAAGAATCTACAATACACTTTTCCCCACCCTGCTCGCAACGCAGCTATGCAGCAGAAGGCAAGTGAAGCAGCGATGGCAACGCACAGGGGGCCTCTCCTCCAGGCGCAGACGCGGAGGACCACAGGCCGGTGGTCTTCCTGCGCTCACACCTCCCAGAGGGAACAAGGTGAGCGCTCTGCTTGCGTTAAGGGCACAGGTTAGGGCCCAACGCGGACACTCAAGGAAGGAAAAACAAAACAAGCAGGGCAGAGAACCCTGTAATAGAATCATTGTTCGAAATAGTCACAAAAAAGCAACCGGCGATTTTGCAACTTAAGAAAGCACAAAGAGCCGAAACCGGTTTGGCTCAGTGGATAGAGCATCGGCCTGCGGACTGAAAGGTTCCAGGTTCGATTCCCATCGAGGGGCATGTGCCTTGGTTGCAGGCACATCCCCAGTAGGAGGTGTGCAGGAGGCAGCTGATCGATGATTCTCTCATCGATGTTTCTATTGTAGCTTTCTCTCCCTCTCCCTCCCTCTCTGTAAAAATCAATTATATACATATATATAGATGGAAGCACAAACATCGACCAAGGAAAACCTGCGTCCGCCAGAACAAGCGGTGTGACCGTCAGGTTACCTGGCCTCCCGGCAGCTCAGAGTTCTCCTCTGTACAATGGTCACAACATAAGGTAGAGATCATTCGCGCAGAGTCAGCACAATGCCCAGGTGGGGGAATGCACTCGATAAATGCTAGCGGCATCAAGAAAGGGTCGCCTTACGAGGTAGTTGGGCCAGGCCTTTCTCCTCGGAACTACCTTCCCCGGTCCCTTTGCGCGGCTTGGAGCTGGGGACCAGCTGGAAGGCCTGCGGACCGGGAGGGCGGGCCTCGGCGTTCCCGTCTGTGGAATGGGCACGCGGGGCCGGCCGCGCCCAGCTTACAGACAGGCTGCAGGGGGTCCGGCTCGGTTACCTGAGGGGGCGCCCCGCCGAGGGGTGGCGGGGGCCGGGCTCGCGGCGCGCCTCCTGGGGGTGCCGGCCTTGCGTCCCCGGCGGCGCGGGCCCATGGCGGACGCGGAGGGTCTCGGTGCGCGGCTCCTTCCCCGCCTCCTGGGCTCGCGGGCGGAGGCTGGCGCCTGGGAGGCCTGGGAGCGCCCGGGTCGCGTGCGCCCGCGGGGCCGGACCCACGCGCGACGCGCTGCCTGGGGTTCCAATGGCTCGCGCCGCCGACTCCCCCGGCGTTTTTTAAAACCGAATCCGGCGGCTCCCAGTGGCTGCCTCCGGAGCAGAGCGACCGCGGGGCGACCAATGAGAGCACAGGCCTGGAGGCTGACGGCGGCGGCGATTGGGAGAGGAACGGGGACATGGAAGACCGATGGTCGGATAGGCCAATGGACGCTTGAAGACGTGAAAGGAGGCGGGGCTTTCTCCCTTCTTGTTTGTGGCGACGCTGTCAGACTCATGTCCTCTGGTGCCCTCTGGTGGACAAAGGAAAGATCGATTCTGGAGGTGGAGATGAGTTTGTAGGACGCGTTTCTGACAAGTCACTTTGCCCAAACGTTTTATGTTTTGCTCTGTCTACCCAGAGATGGCGTTTAAAGATGAGCAAACAGACCTACAGAGAACGTGACATCCCCATGTCGCGCCTGTGACTCTCCCGGGAGCACCCCCAAATGTGACTCACCGGCCAGTTTAACTGCATGTTCTTGATAGGGATCTGTAGACCTCAGCACTATTTTTCTTGGGTCACACTCTCAGACATTACAATAGAATTATCCCAGGGATAGGTCACCTTCCTTCCTGTTGTGGGTAATCCGAATTCAGGCCAAGTGTAGAACTGGGTAATAAGAATAAAACATAGAAACATCAGAGGGAATCCTGCACACCCCCCACTGGGGATCCAGCTAGCAACCCAGGAATGTGCCCTTGACCTGAATTGTACCTGGGACCCTTCAGTCTGCAGGCCGATGCCCTATCCACTGAGACAGACCAGCTAGAGCAATCTGTGTGGATTTTATATTCCACTCCATGATACTGTGTACAATAAAATGTCCCTTCCCCTCCGAGCAAAGCTCATGGCTCATGGGCAAAGGACACTTGATACAGGGTGCATATGTTTTATTGAGTTGAACACTTGAAAACTGTATGGTTTTGCAAACCAATGTCACCCCAATAAACTCAGTAACATAAATAAAAGTTGATGGTCTGGGGTGTTCAGCAGCCACCCTGGCGCACAGTTCGGCCTTACATGACACCCCACTGTGCATTGGCCTATACAGTCCTGGGGTCCGGGTACAGGCTCCCGGCTGCACGCCCTGCTTCCTCTTTCTGGGCTGCAGTTTCTCCATCTGAACAATGGACGATGGACGGGGTGGTTTCCGTGCTTTGGCACATGAGCGCTTTTCCATCCAACATTCTAGAACACCCCAATTAAAAAAAAAAATCCATATAGCTAATTTCCCTTTTCTTTTTTAACAGAAAGGCTAAAACATCCCAAGGCAGGCTTTTCTTTTGTTTTTGTTTTGTTTTTGGACAAGGCAGCTGTAGTCCCCAGGACCCTCACTCTCCATTTCTTCTTCCTGTGACACACAGTGTCCCAGAGACTCAGGGCTGGTGGGAAAGAAAGACCCGCTCCTCCCAACAAACTTTAGTAACCTGCTGGCTTCCCACACAGCCTGAGGGTTCTGCTTGCCAAAGATCCCTTCCCCTAGACTTGATTTTAACGAAGGCATTTGGTGTTTTATGCGAGCTGCCCAGAAAAAAACAGTCTGAGGCCCCAGAAACTGTCAGGGAGTGAGGAACACTGGGTTGGAGGGTCATTCGGCTCCCTGGGGTCCCCAATGCCAGCTGCCTCTCTTTGACCGGGCTGAGGGGGAGCTACTGGGAGGATACCAGCTCATGATGTTTCTATCCCAGCCACAGAAAATCCCCCCAAAGACCCCAGAGAGAGACCAGTATGGGGGGGGAAAGAGAGGAAGGTGGCTACAGATTTGGAATCAGATTTCATTACTTAAACACCTGCTCCGTCAGGAAGTCACACAACCTCTCTGCCTCGGTTTCCTCATCTGCACCCACCTGTGCAGGTTGTTATGTGATGGAATGAAAGTTAAGCACTTTGTACAAAGCCTGGGAGGCCAGAATCACTGTGAACAGGCAGGATCCTGGCCAATCCATCACCCTGGAGGGGGGCTGAGGGCCAGCTGTGCTCTAGATGCCAGCCTGTGGCAGGACCATGCGGCCACACGGCCAAACAACTTACAATTTTGGGCCTCAGGTAAAATGGAAGGTGCAGAGTCATACAAGCTGCTCCCATAAGGGCAGCCTGGAACTCCCCTGCAATCTCTCCCAGGAAGGGGAGCCCTGAGGGTGTGCGACAAGGACACCTGGGCACCAAACAGGCCTGGGGGAGGCCTGTGGGCAGAGGGAATTCCCCTCGAATGGCTGTCACTCCTTCCCCAGTTGGTCAAAGCCTCAGGCCACACAAAGGGCCCAGCTGGGGTTGGAAGGCTCCGAAGCCACAGGCTGACACCATCTGCTTCCCGGAGCGGGACACCAGAGCGACTAAGGGGCTGGGAGCACAGGCTGAGTCAGCAAAACCGAAGGCTCCGGACAGCGCGAGGGGACACCTTACACGTTTCAAAAACGGGGCACTTGGTTCTGCTCTGAATCTGCTCACTGACCTCTCTTCTCTGGAGAATAATTTTGCTTGGGATTAGAAAACCCTAGGGATGTTACTCCTGCAATTCCACCGAGTGGTTCCGCGTTGGTGCTGCTGTGGGGGCCTGGGCGAGCTTGGCGTGGGTCACTGCATTCAGGCCCGGGGGAGGTGGTGACAAAGGAGGGCCTGGGTGTCCTGTCATCATCTGTGGTCCGGGGGTCTGTCCTGGGGGGTCTGTGGGGAGGGGCAGGGCGAGGCCTTGGGGACAGGGAGCTTGAGGCTCACAAGGCTGTGCGGCCTCAGCCTCAGGGCGAACGAGGTGCATCCGCGCGGCAGCAGGCCCGCGGGAGGCTCAGCTGGCATCGTTGATGAGCGTCTGAGAGGGATCCAGCAGGCGCTCTCGCTCGCCCTCCTCCGCTGGGTACCGGCTGCGGGCCAGGCGGGCCAGCAGCGGGCGGTGCAGCCCGTTGTAGAGGGCAGTGCCCATCAGGAGGATGAGGAAGCCGAGGATCTGCAGCGGGTGGAAGGCCTCCCAGCCCAGCGCCAGGCTCAGGGCCCAGATGACGACGGTCCGCAGGCTGTCCAGCACCATGCGGGTGGTGGCGCTCATCTCCTTGGTGACGCTGATGCCCGCGAAGTTGAAGAAGGCGATGCTGCTGATGTTGCCCAGCAGCGCCAGGGCGATGAGCGGCTGCCGGCCCACCTGGCAGAAGGCGTCCAGGGCGTCCTCCAGCGCCCCCCGAGGGTTCCCGCTGAAGGAGCCGGCGGGGATGTAGTACATGGGCACCAGCAGCAGGGACAGGATCACGAAGCCAAAGAGGCCTGCGGAGGGAAGGGACCATGTCACACTCTGCTCGGCCCCGACTCCCACTCCCAGCACATCAGGGCCACCTCCCCCCATCTCCTGCCACCCTCTCCTTGGGGACCCCCACACGAGGGCCTTCCTCTCAGGACCGAGACCCGTCCCCTTCATCCGGGGTTCACAACGGCCACTGAAGGTCCAGCTGCCCTTCTCCACGTTAACCCACATTTTCCGACGACACCGAAAGAAATGCATTTTACTCTACGACCAGGGAATATATGCACAGGCGCGCGCGGCACACACACACACACACACACACACACACACACACACAATCGCGAGCACGTTTTCACTTTCACAGAACAACAGCTACCCTTACAACATGCAATGCTCTCTGACTTCTAAATTCCAGTTGACTCATTTAAAAGAGAATCGCTGACTATAACCACTACGGTGCCCACATGTGTGGAAAACCACTCTCATTCAGCGCCACTGGCCTGTGGTAAGTAAGGAGCTGAACCAGAATGTAAATCGGTGCACCGCTTCATTCAGAAAGCCTTGCTGGGAAAAGAAGAGCAGAAACAGAGTGTGCTGGACAATGTCGCTGACTCGGTTGTGAGCACTCTGCCATGGCCCTCGGCTCACTGAGGACCAGGCGCAGAGAGCACCTGACTAGCCAGGGGCCACACTTGGTAGTGCTGCTCTAGTCCTCCCTGTTGGTGTCATGTTTTTAAAGCATCATTTTAATAGCTATTTCCCTGCTCCGAATCTGCTGGTTCTTCCCTGCCTGCCACTTAAATTCACTTGCCTGATGTTCAAGGTTCTCCATCTGAACCTGACCTGATCATTCTCCCAACATCAAACCTGCACCTCGCCCAAACTCTTCCTCACGGGGCTGTAAACTCACGTCCAGCTGCCCATGTCTTCGCTCTGTCCGGGGTTCCCTCCTTCCTATTCTGCCTGTTGAAATTGCAGCTCGAATGCCACCTTCCCTGTCCCAAGGCACTCAGGTAGGCTTGGCAGGTACAACTTCACTTGAGCACAGGGGGCCTGAGCTCAAACCAGTACTTGGCCACTTCTTGCTGGTCAGCGCCTCTAGAGCGAGGCTCACAACTCATTCATCTTCAGCCTCGACCTCCCTGAGCTCCCGGCTGTGTGCACGACACACGTGGCAAAGGGAGGAAGGGAGGGGGCAGGATGCTCACCCCTCCAGGCGGCCCCAGTGCTCCTTCAAGTGCGTTCACTCCACACGCTACCCTCCAGTGGGCCCCCTGACCGGCGCCCTCCCCCAGCCCCTGTGCCCACTCACCCTCCGTGCCAACTGCCCGCAGCGGGTGCACGTTGTGCTTGTAGACAAACTTCTCCTCCAGCACCATCTGGATGGAGACGATGATCTGGGCCATGATGATCAGCAGGTCCCCTGTGGGGAAGGACCAACAGGCCCGGGTGAGGGAGGCAGGAGCCAGAGGGCCACGGGGCTGTGGGCAGGGTGGCGGGCCCAAACTGAGGAGAGACAGCCCCCAAGGGGACAAAACAGCAGCCTGTGACTCTGCAGGGCAATATAGTTCACGAGGCACAATCATAACATAACTGCTCTGCTGGCCTCTGCAGGGGTATGTGGGGGGTAGGTTGATAAGGCAGGCACCGCACCCCCTCTAGGCCAAGGTCCCAGGAGGTTCCCAAGCCTGTGCTCCAAAGAGCTGCAGAATGGGGTACACAGCTCTTTGGAGCACAGGCTTGGGAACAAACAGTTCTGGTTTAATCCTACCTCTGAGCGACCAGGGCGGTCACTTCACTGTGGGATGGGCTGCACTGCTGTCTCTGGAGTAAGTGCTCAATAAAGGCTCTTTCCTCTCCTCTCCCAAACCCAGGGCGTGTGTGTGTGTGTGTGTGTGTGTGTGTGTGTGTACACGGACAGCACAGCACCAGCTCTCTGCTTCCTCTGACCTCCGGGTCCTTATCCACCCCTTTCTCACGCTGCGTGGGCCTCTGGCCTTCTCTAACTCTACTTGGCAACCTGAGAGTAGGTGCGTGTCCACAGCGGCTGGTCCCCACATGCCCACCCGGGCTTGGCACGCAGCACAGGTCACTGGCTCTGTGCTGGGCCGCCAGAGAGGGCAGGAGGGCAGCCCCCGGTCCCAGACCCCACGGCACCTGTGATCACTTCGCTGAGCTTGTGCTGATCGTCGTGCTTGCTCAGGAGGTCGGCCAGGCCCACGACCACCAGCCCCGCGATGGTGGCGAGGATGCCCAGCCACTGGCTCGGCACCAGCCTCCGCCCCAGGAAGGCCACGGAGAACAAGCCCGTGAAGATGATCACCGCTCCCCGCAGCATCTGGAAACTGGAGGCGCTGGTCATGTTCAGGGCTGGGGGAGGACCGACACGAGGCATTAGTTCTCGAGAGTCCGGGCGGGCTGCCCGCTGAGCTGTTCTCGGGGCTGAAGACATGCCTCCCGCCTGCCCGGATGCTCAGTGACTCTCGGGTGAGGGTGCGGGAGAGGGCAGGGGTGGGGGACGATGAGCTGGGGCGGGAGTGGCTGTCGCATCAACGGCCGCCTGGGGTCATGGGCTTCTCTGAGCCCCACGTGGCCTGGCCCGGCTACTCACCCACATACATGATGCTGGTCCCGGTCATGTCGCAGAGGGCCGGGGCCAGGAAAAGAAGGGGGTTGAAGGGCTGCTGGGGGTCCATGCTGGCGTCCGAGTACCTCGCGGTTCTGCACCGGAGCAGGTAGAAGGCGGCCAGGCAGGAGAACTCCCCCAGGAACATGCCCACTGCCTGCGGGGACAGAACCCTACGGGTTTAGAACTGGAGGGACGGTCACCTTCAACAAAAATGCCTTTAACGTAAGCTTTCCTCAGACAAGAGCGTCCCTGGAACCCCTGCACACAGAACTGGCACAAGCAAAGCTGCTGCGTGTGGGAGGCCAGAGACTGCCTCCTGGGTCACCCCTAAGCCCCTCGAACAGCTTGACACAGACCCTAAGGCTGCGCAGAGCCCTGTTTGAAAACCACCGATCTAGGCCAAGCCCTGGTCAAGTTCCAGAAGGATAGACGGAGGTCCAGCGAGGCTCAGGAAGTTATTTAAGGTCACAGGGCAAGTTGCTGGCAGAGCTGGGCTGAAATCCGGGTCTCCCACTTCCCTGTGGAGCAATAGGGTGCCTCCTATTTATGGTCCCTGTCCCTGTGGGGTCTGGGCTCCCGATGGGTGGAGAGCAGGTTTGGCTACGAGGGCTGATGTTTTCCAAATGTGACCTGACGTGGACGTGGGGAGGGCTGGCTCCCAGTGCCCGCTTGGGCCTCTCACAGGGGCTGTGCCCTTTGCTCCCTCCCAGTCTGGCCTCTCTTCTGGGAGGGAGGGAGGCGTGGGCAGTTCTCCTGAGAGCAGGGGAGACTCCACCCCCGGACCCAGAAAAAGCAGGGCCTCCGGGGCCAGGAGGCCTGGGCGACAGGAGGCGGAGGAGGGAGGGTCATGGGGAGGACGGGGCAGGTACCTGGAGGAAGGGGTGCTGGAAGCTGTGCTCCTGGCTTCCTCCGCAGCCCTGGGCCACGAAGTTGTCAGCCCACCTGCAGCGGAGAGAGAGAAGGTCACACCCTGTCGTGCGGCGGTGCCTGCGGACGAGCTCGCTCCTCCATCGCCAGGAGGCCATACTTGGGGGACTGGGCCCAGAGTGGGGCTCCCTCTCAAAGGGGCCAGTCTCTGGGCAAGGAGTCTTCATCTGGGGGTGTGGACAGAATGGGGGGGCCTGAGAGCCTCTCCTGAAATGTCATGAACCTCTAACTGAAAGTAAGCTTTCCCTGGAATTCTGAGGGCGGCACAGCAGCCCTGGGGCTTTGTCGCAGAAATCGCAGCCGCTCTCATGATCCCACGAGGGTTGTGGACGCTGTGAAGTACCATCACACCCATCACTGCTCCAAATTTATAGTAATTAGACCCACTGTTTACAATTTTATGTGTTAATAAGCGAAAAGGCACATATGACTATTCATGAACTTGCCTCTTTAATGTTTTGATAACGTCATGTCAGCATAATTGGCTTTTTTCTGTGATCCTCAGTCTTTTTAAAAAAATATATATATTTTGTTGATTTTTTACAGAGAGGAAGGGAGAGGGATACAGAGCCAGAAACATCCATGAGAGAGAAACATCGATCAGCTGCCCTTGACCCAGGCACATGCCCTTGACCGGAATCGAACCGGGGACCCTTCAGTCCGCTGGCTGACACTTTATCCACTGAGCCAAACCGGTTTCGGCAGATCCTCAGTCTTTTATTTGCACGTTTTAAAGCATCACGTTAGGATTCACCAGGTTATCAAAGAGCCACACTGCACAATATCCAGTCACTGGTTACAAGGGCACTTGGCCCGGGAAAGGCCGCCTGACGCAGACCTGTCACCTTCCTGCGGCCGGAGGCTTGGAGGGTCTTTCCAGCGCAGACGCGGAGGCAGGTGGCCGGTGCCCGGCACCAGTGGAGCGGTCCCTGCCGGCTCCCTGCCAGCACCCTGGCAGACGGCGTAACTGACTATGGCTCACTTCCCCAAAGAGCCCACACGGGCCCAGAATCCTTCACGGCCCAGGGCGCCGGACAGCTACCACCACCCTTCCGTGCTGTCCGCCGTCTGTGCACTGAAGTCCCGCCCTTGAATGTCATTTGTGCTGCAGTCTACCGTAGTCTGATCTCTCTCTCGTTCGAAAGCCCTCCAGAGATGTGGGGACTTTTCCACCTTCTGACTCTTCTCGTCTCCTGGCTGAACAGCCCAGCCCTTCCTAACCTTTCACTTCCCTGGCTGCTGGCTTCTGGAGGCGTGCTGGTGGGCCTGGCCCAGAGCCAGGAGCGTGTGACCTGGCCCAGACTGAGCCTGGCGAGGCAGTGACCCCTCTCTCACGTGGGATGCCCTGGTTAGCTGACACGACTGCTGACTCAGGTTAGTTGACACAACCGGGGCCGTGTCACACTGCTGACTCAGTCCCTCACACCAGGGCTGCTCTCCGCGGCTGCGGCTGCTCCCTCTGCAGCACCCACCGAAGGCGGAGGCTGTCCTGAACAGAGAGGTTCAGGACTTCCCCAAAACGCCTGCCAAGAGCAGCCGCCCTGCAGTGCCCAGCCCTTCTCCAGAGGCATCTCTGCACAAGTGTGTGTGTGTGTGGGGTTTCTGCTTCCTGTGTCCCCCACAGAGCCACAAGCATGGGCCCCCGGTTGTGCCAAGCACTCGAGAGTCTGGGTTTGACACACATCCTGTCCAGCCCTGGCTTCTGTGCCCTGAGTCTGGGGAGGGGAAGAGGAAGCTCTTTCCCACAGCCCAGGGCAAGGGCAGGATGCCCGGATGTGGCAGCGGGAGGGCGAGCCGAGTGGTGATGGAGCTCCTGGTCACCCGGGAGGGCAGCGCAGGCCCGTGAGGGAGAGACCACGTCTACCCAGATATCTGAACACATCCCAGGGCGAGGGAGCAAACAGGGCCAAGGCCACCTTATCTCTGAGAGGGGGTAAGGGGCAGTTAGGAGGGCTCCTGGTTCTTGGGAATGACGAGGCGCAAAGGACAGCTGCAGGGGGGAGAGGTTCTGATGTGACTGGCTGGGAAGGCAGAGAGGAATCCGGGTCAGGGCACTGGCTGCAACCAGCCCCAGCACCAATGGAGACAGGAAGCCCTCGCTGCAGAATAAAACCACCGCTCTCGGGGGTCTCATTTCCGCCTGGTCTGCTCCAGGTTGGGCGGGGCAGGGGACGTGGGTGGGGGCCACAGGCAGCTGTGGCTCAGGGCAGTCATGGTTTACAAGCCATTCGCTTTTGCAGAAAGAGCCCCCTGGGAGGGTCTGGGGAGGCAACTGAGTGAGACAGAGGAGAAGGAGTGAAGAGGACCATCCAGCTTCCCCGGAGGCACTGAGCAGGTTGGAGAGGTGGGAGGCTCCTCCAGGAAGGGTGGGTAAGGGCGGTCCTGCCAAGTCCATAAGGTCAACCAGAAGCCATGGCCACGGGCAGGCACGGAAGCCCCTCGCTCATCCTGGGGCCACACCCGAGCAGAGATTGGCAGGTTCAAGATGACAACTCACATCTGTCTCACTCTCTGGTCCCACTCACCGCCATTTAGAGTGCAAGTTCAGCATCCAGCAGCTCCCACTCTGTGCCCTGCTCCTGGCACATCACTATACAGAAGCTCAAACCGTTTTTGGTTGAATGAATGAGACTTTCAGTCCCTCCAAGCAAATAGACAGGTGCTACATACAATCCAGAGGCAGTGACTCATGAGTCCCGATTTCCCACCTGGTCTGAGGTGCCCCCTGCTGGTGGGACAAGCTGGGCCCAGGATGGGGCAGTGGGTGGGGAGCTGGATGCAGGGTTGGTGCAGAGCTCCTCCCCGCCCCCACCTCCACCCTAAAGGGCTGTGTCTGCTTTCTCCAGGGCTGGGTCTGTCTGAACAGGTTGGGGCTGGCAGCTTTCCCTGCTGGGGAAAAGGAGTCTTTTTGTATCTGAGCGCCTGGGGATGGCTGACAGCCCGATGGATTAGGTGTCATCGGGACAGGATCAGGCCAGCAGACACTTTGAGAGGAGTTAGGCTTCACGTCCTGGCCCCGAGACAGACCTCAGTGCATTGTGCAGGCACAGGAGGACCTCAGCAGCACCGAACAAGAGCCAAAATCCAGCCCCAGTCCACCTGGGGATGGCAGCAATGACCCTAACGTGGAAGAGCGCTTGGCTATTTCCAAATCATGTCACTGAAATGTTTTTGTAAATAGAGGGCTCACTGAGGGTTGTCTGGTCGAAGCCTCACCGGGATCCTCATTTTACAGACAGGGACTTCAGGGTGTGGGGTGGAGGGGTGGAGAGAGGCGTGTTCAGGCTCAAACAGTTAACAACAGGTTCAAACCCATGTGCTGACATTTACATTCAGCAAAGGCAACAGGCTACATGGAAAGCTGATTTTGAGTTTCATAGACTGGACACGTAATAGTGTTCTTATCTATAAAATGGGAATAATACTGCCCTAGCCAGTTTGGCTCAGTGGATAGAGCATCGGCCTACGGACTGAAGGGTCCCAGGTTCAATTCCGGACAAGGGCACATGCCCAGGTTTCAGGCTTGCAGGAGGCATGCAGGAGGCAGCCGATAAATGATTCTCTCTCATCGTTGATGTTTCTATCTTCCTCTCCCTCTCTCTCTGAAGTTAATAATAATAATAATAATAATAATAATAATAATAATATATGGCTAATACTAATGAGTTGTCAAAAGTAATTAATAAGATATGTAAGACCTGGTGCATCATGGCAGGTGGTCAATTAAAGTTCTTTTCTGCGCCTCCTCCCTTTCCCCTTGATTGAGCAGGAGCCACGGCCCCTTGTGGTTCGCCAGGTTCTGCTCCTGCCCCGGGGGAGTGTCCCTTCTCCAGTGTCGCATCCTTTCTCCTGGACCTACCCTGAGGCGGCTGGAAGGGCCTCAGGCTGCTGCCCCAGCAGTTCCAGACTTGCAAAGAAGGTGAGAAACTCAGCCATCATCTCACAAAGCTCCTATTCCACTGACAGGAACCCAGGGACCAGACGGCTGAGGTGCCCAGAAGGGCTGGTACCCAGGAGTCTCTGCCTCCAGTTCCCAGCCCTCTCCTCACACCCGGGGTTCACTATCACCTGCTTATTCCAGTTTCTTCCCACTCCCCTGATGAGGCGGGGCAGGGGCTCAACTCTGCAGACGGGGCCGCCGTTCCCTGTGGATACTGTGTCCGGGGGAAAGCCATGGTCTCCAGGGCAGGCGGCCGGTGGGGACCCACTAGGGTCGGGCTGGGGCCGCATGAGCAGGTGCCTCTCTTAAGAGCTCCCGGGGCCTCAGCAGGCTGGGGTGGGCTCCCCTACACATGGCCTCGCCCAGTGAAAATCACAGCTCAGCATTCTGAGAGGCGGGCATCTGTGTGTGTGTCTGTGTGTGTGGGCTGACTGAGAAGGAGGAAGTGGCTGCCCAGACCGATGGGCTGTGTGTCCATTCCCCGCAGAATCTCTGCCATTTCCTCTTGAGTTCCTGGCTTGTCAAGCCCCCTGAGTCAGCGCCTTTCTCCCACAGAGGCATCTGTAGGAGGCCCAGGGCTTCTCCACTCCCTAGGGCACATGTGTCAAACACAAGGCCCGCGGGCCAAATCCGTCCCGCCAGGCCTTGCAATGTGGCCAGCACCGCGCTGTCATCACTGCACTCCGCTGCGTTTCCATCACAAAGACAGTTTATGACTGTTCAGTAAACCATTCGGCCCGCGATTTAGGCTGGATTTTAGATTTTGGCCCCTTCTCTGATTGAGTTCGACACCCCTACCCTAGGGTAACCCTGGCTCAGGTCGTGATAAATGAGAAGGAGCCCTCTCTCAGTGCAACCAGGAAATCTTCCTCAGGAGATGTTTCCTGTGTCAGGGAAAAGGCGGAAGTCCCGCCCAAGAAAGAGGCACGTTGGGGTACTGCAATGGTTAAGGGATAGGCCTGGGCCACCATGCTGAGACGTAGGTTCTGGTCCCTGCTCTGACCTAGCCAGCTGAGTCACGAAACGAAACTTCTATTGGGACCTCGACTGTAAATTGTGGGGGTTAGAATGGATAATTTCTATGTTTCTAACAACTCCAAATGCCCCCCTCCCCCCAAATGACTAGAGAAGTCCCCAGCCTCGTCCCACGTTGGCGATTAAGAGCAGGGATTCCAGAGCGGGCTACCCAGGCTCAAATATAAGTCCTATAACAGCTGAGTTGAACTAGGGCAAGCAAGCCCATCTTTCCACACCAGTTTCCGGATCCAGGAACAATGAATTTACTACCTACTTCATAGGGCGGCAATAAGACTTCATTCATTTAACACGTGAAAGGCGGCCAGAGACAGGCCTGGCACACGGCGCCCTCTGTGAATGAGCCGATTAGCACTTGCTATGATAGCATTCTTAAGTGTCTGTCCCAGCCCAAAACTGCAGGCCAGAGTGTGATTTCAAACTGAGAACTAATTCCCATCAGGATACACCCGGCCACTTTCCCAAGTTCTTTCTCTCCAAGGCTTCTCATCCTTCTCCCAGGCTGATCCTGGGGCACTGTTTCGAGTGCAATCCTGCCCCCCCCCCCCCCCCCCCCCGCCCTAATCAGGCTTCAGGGCCGGGGACAGGATCAAAGGTTGGGTTCCCACCTTCGAGCTTCTTTCCTGCCGCTCAAGGCAAGGGCTCAAGGCAAGGCCTCCGGAGGCAGGCGGAGGATCCTTTGGTTCCCACCTGACCGGTTTGGAGCTTTTGAAAGAAGGAGCTGAGTCAGCCCCGCTCACCCCTAGAATCACCGGCAATCTCAACTCTCCTTGGGGACAGCAGCCCGGGCAGACCGACCGCCACTCTCTAAGCAGTTGCCTGAGGTCTTGGCTGGAGCTACAGATGGGCCCCTGGCTCTGCTGGGAGCAGATCCTAACGCGAGGTGGGGCCCTCAGGTTGAGTCTCCTTTCGAGCTAAGGCTCACAAAGGAGTGACTTCCAGGAGCCTCAGGGCTCAGGAGACCAGCCTGGACACACGGATGCAGCTGACACAGACAGAAGGTGGGCCCCACCCAGGGCTCCACTTCCTCTAGAGAAGGGAGGACACTGTGATCGCCAAGTGCGTACATGTCTGCCTCCTCCACCTTGGATTGTAAGCATCTCAAAGGCAGAGGCCGTCTCTGTCTTCCTCCTTGAGTCCAGACGGCACCTCATACGGTGCTTTACACACACCTGACGCATTGAATAGGATACTTTCCCGCCAGGCCTCTCTTCTGGTGTCATGTGCTGGAAGCCAAAGCCTCAGAAATGAGTAAGAATGACCAGCCCCCTCCTCCAGGGAGCACAGGCCAGAAGGCGACGAGGGTGACTTGTCCTTACTCTGGAGCCTGACGGGGAGGGACACCGCTGTCCACCATTCTCTTTTCCATGTGCATCATGGAATGGGTTCAGAGGAAGGCCAGGCTCTGGTCCTGGGGCTCTTGGACGGTGAACAGAGGGGAGGAAGGCCCTGCTCGGAGGTGGGGCAGAGACGGAGGAGAAGAGCTGCCAAAAGAAGGGCTGCCTCCCGGACCCCTGTCCTCTTCTCTTGTTACAGAGAGGAGGCGCTGTTTGGTTCCTCCTCTCATGACAGCCCGGGGTGCTCAATCCCCAGCCTCCCAGGGCCTGTCCTCACCTCCCACCAGCACCGCAGCCTCATACCGCATGGCTGCACCGCCCACTGCCCTCCCTGTCTGGGTTAATGGCACTTCTGCTCTCCAGGCAGACATCCTGGATGGAGTGATCATTGTCTCTGGATCCTGGGGGTCAGCCTGTGGCTTCTCTCTGCCCCTGGTCTCCCCCATCTCACTGCCCCCTCCTATCTCCCCTCACCTGCTGGCAGCAGCCTTAGGGTGGGTTTCCCTGCACCAAACCACGCTTCACCTTGACCACCAGCCTCATCATGCCACTCTTAGCCCCTCCCTCCCAGCTCAGGAGCCCCTCTTTGATTATGGGGTAACATCCAGCGCGGACATTCGGTGTTGGTCCACTTTCGTCTGGCCTTGCCGCTTCCTGCCGCGATGTCCCAGCCACAAGTCAAATGCCAGCCTCACCCTTCCTCCATGCGGGCCGACAGGGCTGCCCCTTCTCGGATCATTCGGCCCCGCATGGGGCCTCCACCGTAGCTCCCGAGCACACGTCTGCGGGCCACCCCACCCCCTCCCAGCACCCCTACAGCGCCGGAGGGCGGGGCCTCCCGGCCCGGCATGGGAAGGGGTCCGGTCCCTGAGAGGAACCGGTCCAACCCTCCGTCGTTTAAAGATGGAACTGAGCCAAACAAAGCCGGTTTGGCTCAGTGGATAGAGCGTCCGTCTGCGGACTGAAGGGTCCCAGGTTCGATTCCAGTCGTCAAGGGCATGTACCTTGGTTGTGGGCACATCCCCAGTGGGGGATGTGCAAGAGGCAGCTGATCGATAATTCTCTCTCATCGATGTTTCTTTCTATCCCTCTCTCTTCCTCTCTGTAAAAATCAATAAAATATATATTTTTTTAAAAAATGGAACTGGGTCGCAGAGGTGGAAGTGACTCGCAAGATCGAGCTCACAGCGGGTCACAGCCGGGTGGGCTCCCTCCAGCGCGGGCACCAGCCCGGCCTGCACTAACTAGCCCAGGCCTCTCATCTCCGGGCTGGGTGGTCCCTACACCGAGCGAACCGGCCGGGGAAACTGGGCGCCCGGGTGAGGCCGGGAGAGGACAGCTGAGAGGCGTAGGCCGGGAAGGTGGCGGGGAAGGTGGCGGGGAAGGTGGCGGGGAAGGTGGGGGGCGCCAGCGCCCCGCGGCCGCGGCAGGCCCCGCGGCGCCCCCGCCCTCCCTCCCGCCGCCCGGACTCACTTGGCGGAGAGCGTGTTGATGGAGCCGGTGACGAGCATGAGCCCGGCCAGGAACAGCTGGTACTTGGTCCAGGCCATGGCGGCGGCGGAGGGGGGCGCGACGCTGCAGGGACCCCCGCGACCTCCACGGTCTCTGGAAACTACAGCCCCTGACCCGGTCACCCCGGGGTCTCGGGCGCTAGCGCTTCCGGGCCGGGCGGCACGTGACTCGCTCCGGCCCCGCCCCCTGCCCGCCGGCCCCGCCCCCTGCCCCGCTGGCCCCGCCCCCTGAAACCCGGCGCGCCGGTTCCCACAGGTCTCCCCATTTGTGAAAGGAACTGATGGGACGGTGGTGCAACGAGGGTGCATCTTGGATGTCAGAGCGTTTTGTAAACCGTTTTTGGAGAAGCTGAGCTGAATGATGTCAGAGGCAAACTACAAAGTGTTGCTGTCCAGCATGGGAATCTCCCCTTCCCATGGAACCCAGGGACCTCCTGGGGGGAGGGGGGCGCGCGGAGGCCTGGAGTGTCCCTAGGGATCCCAGCCTGTGGTGCTGCTCACATCTTCCAGAAGAGTGGCTTAGGAAGCTTATTCCTGAGCCCTGGGAGACCGTTTTAGAGAGAAAGAAACGACATTGATCATGCTGGTGAATGATGGGGCAGGAATTTGCAGGCAGAGACTTCTGTCTCCCCCAGATCCATCCTTCAGCCCCACCATGACAATCACCCCATTGCTTCTTCGTGGATTTCCCCAGGCTGCTAGGAGGCAATGCCCGCAGAATGCCCTAGGCTTGTTTGCAGAGCGTTCTCGCTTTCTATAGAACCCTGCTCCTGGTTTTCAGCCCGAGATGGACTGTCCTCACCTCAAGGCTTCTAGTTTGCACCCCGTGCCTGTCACCCCACAGGTCGGAGTCAGAGGCCTTCAAGGATCTGCTGCAGGCCCACTGGGCACACTTTCCCCGTCACCGCGGATTTTGCTACTAAAGTTGCAGAGATAGGACCTGCCTGCCCACTCCTCCTGCTTACCGTAACCCTGCCTCGGACTTGTGAAAATGACCAGTGTTGAACCAGAAAAGTGCTCAAGGGACTGCACCAGACCCTTTTATCGCGGGGAGACCTGCTGTGGGAGGTCACCTGACAGACAGGGGCTTCCCAGAGGAGGGGACGGCACAGAGGTCTGAGTGGACATGGAGGGCGTCTGGCCCACAGACCACTTGGGAGTGTTCCTTCTCTGGAGCCTGTTCTCCTAGGTCTGAGGGAGAAGGGAGACCCAGAAGGAGCTTTCTTCTGAGCTTCTTGTCCTCAACAATATCATTGTTTGTGTGTTTGAAGAGGCATAGATTCAGTTATCCAGAAATATCACTGAGATTCTGGGACCTGCAGGGATACAGGACGTACAGCTTCTATCGCAAGGGGCAGGATGGTGCATGCCACGCCCTGGCAGCCCATCACAGTCGGAGGCAGTTCCCACAGGCCACAGTGACACTCTCAGTGGGACTCTGGACCATTTTCCCCAAGTGTCCAAGCCAAGGGCACTGCCCTGAAGGAAACATTATTAATGACCAATGGTGTCACCAGCCCGACATGATGTCACTAGGAGCACAGTCTTTGCCTGTCTCTCTAGCCGTATCTTCAAATGAATCTTAATGTATTGCCATTATTTGGCCATTCATCAACTGTTGTCCTTGGAGCCTCGGAGACAGGAGGGTTTATTTGGAATTGGTGCCCACGAAGTGCCAGGCCCAGAGCCAGACATGAGACGACCCCAAAGACAAGTGAGACAAGGTCCCTACCCTCAAGGAATCTGAGATGTTATGGAGGAGAGGGGTGAGCACATGGGTAACCGTGTAGCAATGCTTATGAGACAGAGGGATCTGGGAAAGGCATGGGATTCCTCAAGAAGGGCAGGAGCGAGGGCATGAGGGTGACAATCAGAGCTGTCCTGGATTGGGTACCCCATCTGTGTCCGCTTGTGCTGGGAGCTTGGCCACTGTGGCCCCATGTGCTGAAATGTAGGGACGATTTGAGCAGGGGCTTGACAGAGGAGCAGAATTGCTCCAGGTGGAGAAAGGGGTCACGTGGGGCAAAGACCACCAAGTGGACATCATGGAATGACCAGTCACCCCCCATGTTGGGGAATGACCTACAGTGAGGCTCCAGGTCTCTGCCAGCCTGGCTAGCCTGGGCTGAACAGGGGAAAACCAAGGTTGACATGGGTGTTTCCAGGTAGCAGGGACCTCAGACTGGGCATTAACGAGCACTCCCCTTGCATATGTGCATGATCTGGTTTTTGGGACTTTTCTCCCAAAGACAGGGGCATTTTGGACACATTTGCACACTACCTTCAGAGAGCCTCTGGTTCCCAGAGTCAAATAAAACGCATCAGTGCAAACCCCTGCATTTGTATTCAGAGCTGCCTGCCAGCCTGTGACTTGTCTGAAAGATTGAACATTTCCCCAATCAATTGAATCACACCCTGGATTAGGAGAGAGTTATTTTCTCCAGGGAAGGACAGAGACAGTTCCGTCAGACCTGTTTTGTTCAGAACACGTTTTGTTTTTTTTCTCTTTTTTTTTTCTGTATGTCTGTCCTTGGGCTACTTCTCTCATGTGTGGCCTGTTCCTCTGGTAGAATGTGACCGTATCATGGGCAGGTGACAAAGGTTCTTTGCTTGGCCAGATTTTAGTCAAAGTCATGAACCTGCTCCAGGGCCCATCGATGTATCTTCTTGTAAAATCCTGTTTTAGTAGGAACCCTGCCAAGTCTGTTCAGCCAGAATCCCCCACCCTCCATATCTGATCACCTCCCTACCCCCACCCCACACACACCCTCAGGGGATGTCGGATCACTCTGGTCTGCCATCAGCAGAAATCCTGTTAAGTCAGTTTAGCCAGAGACCCCTTGCAGCCGAGGTTTCCTCTTAGTAGTTGCCCACCCATGGCCTCACTCTGCTATTTGGCTGCGAGTGACCACTGGCTGGGCTGCATTTGGAACTGAGCTCCACACAGCCCTGCAGACCGAGGTCTGGTTTTCCCTGTTGCAAATTGTTTTTATTGCTTTAACTGCCGTCTGGTTCTGGTTTCCCTTTGATACATCCAGTTGCCTGTCTCTCCCAACGGGGTGGGCATTGCAGGGCGGCCATCTGAGGCTGCGGCTGGGAGGAAAAGCAATGGCCGGGAGACATTGGGGCAATGAAACCGGGCCTAACAGGACCTCACCAGGGAAGGGAATGCGGATGGTCTTTATTGGTCATGAGGTGGCAGATACTGTTGACCAGCTCTTTCTGGTGGATTTTATGGCTTGTTTCTATGGTGACTAAAGATGATTAGATCAGGAGTCACCTGCTCCTTGTGGCTTCAGGCCCTCATAGGTCATTCTCAAAACAAATTTTCTTTCTTTCTTCCTTTCTTCCTTCCTTTCTTTCTTTCTTTCTTTCTTTCTTTCTTTCTTTCTTCCTTCCTTCCTTCCTTCCTTCCTTCCTTCCTTCCTTCCTTCCTTCCTTTCTTTCTTTCTTTCTTTCTTTCTTTCTTTCTTTTATTAATTCTTATATGAAGATTTTTCCCCCCATTGCTTTTCAGAGAGAATGGAAGGGAGGGAGAGAGAGAGAAACACGGAGAGAGAGAGAGAAACATGGATGTGAGAGAGACTTATCAATTGGTTGCCTCCCCCATCTGCCCCAACCAGAGATGGAACCCACAACCCAGGTACATGCCCTTGACTGGGAAACGAACTCTATGACCTTCGGTGGGAGGGCAGGCGCTCTTACCACTGAGCACACTGGCCAGGGTTGCCTTTCCTTTGTTAACGTAAAAAAACCATTGAAACCTGTAAAGAATTTTTATGAGTTTATTTGAACCAAACTGTCGGGAAGCAGAACCTCAAGGAATTGAGATAATGCTCCAGAGAATGGCAGGTTACATCTATATTTATACATTGCAATCAAAGGAGGGACATAGGTGGGTTACATGAAATTCATTGGTGATGGATTAAGGAGATGGTATAAAGCAAATCAGAGGAAACCCTTGGGATTGGATAAAAAGTAAAATGATGGACACATACTTAGGTGGGTGCAGGAACAATTAACATGATAATGAAGGAATTTGTGGCATCTGTCCCAACACATTAGGTTGTGCCCCAGGGGCTCCAGAAAAAGGGAAGTTATAAATTATCTTTTCAAGGGTCTATTATCATAGATGAAAAAAAAAAAAAAAAAAAGACAGATATGCTCAGTTAAAGTAAAGGTTGACCTTGTCAGGGAAGATACCAGCCTAGGCTGTAACTGCCCACCATAACTGCATTTAGTTAAAGTTTAATTTCAGACCATCCTTTGTGGTTACTTTAGGTCTCTGAGTTTGCAAAACTACCATGCAGGCCTTCCCTGAGCTTGTCAGGTTAGCCTGTGGCCCCTTTTGTCCACACTTTCTTTAATTTTTTTTTATTTTTTATATTTTATTGATTTTTTTACAGAGAGGAAGGGAGAGAGATAGAGAGCTAGAAACATCGACCAGCTGCCTCCTGCACACCCCCTACCGGGGATGTGCCCGCAACCAACGTACATGCCCCTGACCGGAATCGAACCTGGGACCTTTCAGTCTGCAGACCGACGCTCTACCACTGAGCCAAACCGGTCCTGGCTGTCCACACTTTCTTAACTTCAGAGCTGATCCTTAGCCTGGGGTGGGCCACTGGATCTTGCGAGCTGTGTTAGGCTTGGTCCTCTGGGAGCAGGATCAAGTCGGATCCAGATAAATTTGATTTCAGATGAGCAGTGAAAAATTGTTTTAGTTTAAGTAACTCTTCAATATCGTTTTGGCATATACCTATACTAAATATGATATGTGATAGATCCTCCCTTCCCCCAACGGATGGACAGAGAATGAAGTAAACTCCACCTGCAGTCCGAACATTCCTGAGCACCTAACCAGGCACCTTATATGGACTGTGCAATGAACCACCAATCAGCACCTGGCAATTACCCTAAGCCCCCCCCCCCCATTCCTAAGTCCCTAACTATGTGCCTTATATGAAACCACCAATCAGTACCTAAGCCCCGCCCCTTCCCTTTCCTCCCCTCAAAAGGCTCAAAAGAGCACGTGTGCTCTTTTCTCCTTGGAAGGCAGCCGGCAGGGGTCTTCTCCCCCAATAAAGCCTGTGTCCTGGTATCCTGGTTCTCCGGACCCTCGGCTTCATCTTTCAATATATCATTTATCTAACACTCAAAACTAATGGGGCCTCCCTGTGGT